CTAAGCTAGCTAGTTAAAAAACTCTCTTGAAATATATGAAAACTGAACAAAGAATTCTGAACATCAGCGGTGAGTTACCCATTTATATACCAAACCTAAATCCATAATCAGATCCTCTTCAAATGTGTCCTAAAATGTTTGGTTCATGTTAATGGTTTCTTCCGGGTTCATCGCGATCGTCACATTAAAACAGTATTTCTGTCATGAAAGCATTAAAAAAATCTGAAAACCCTTGTGCATGTGTGTTAAGGATGTATATGTATAATGCATTCCCTGATTAACATTTAAAGGTGTTGATTCATTGATTGGTATTTGTTTATTGAGCCCGGCTCCGCTAGGGCTCCGCTAGGCCAGCAGTCATTATAGGAAGAAGGGGAAGAAGAGGAAGAAGAGAAAGAAGGGGAAGAAGAGGAAGAAGTGAAGAAGATGAAGTAAGAAGAATGTGTTGTACGGGGCTGAAAGTGTTGTAAAGTGCTAAATGTGTTGTAAAGTGCTGAATGTGTTGTAAAGTGCTTAATGTGTTGTCAAGTGCTAAATGTGTTGTCAAGTGCTAAATGTGTTGTAAAGTGCTAAATGTGTTGTAAAGTGCTAAATGTGTTGTAAAGTGCTGAATGTGTTGTAAAGTGCTAAATGTGTTGTAAAGTGCTAAATTTGTTGTAAGGTGTTGAATTTGTTGTAAAGGCCTAAATGTGTTGTAAGGTATTGAATTTGTTGTAAGGTATTGAATTTGTTGTAAGGTATTGAATTTTTTGTAAAGTGCTAAATGTGTTGTAAGGTGTTGAATTTGTTGTAAAGTGCTAAATGTGTTGTAAGGTGTTGAATTTGTTGTAAAGTGCTAAATGTGTTGTAAGGTGTTGAATTTGTTGTAAAGTGCTAAATGTGTTGTAAGGTATTGAATTTGTTGTAAGGTATTGAATGTTTTGTAAAGTGCTAAATGTGTTGTAAGGTGTTGAATGTGTTGTAAAGTGCTAAATGTGTTGTAAGGTGTTGAATTTGTTGTAAAGTGCTAAATGTGTTGTAAGGTGTTGAATGTGTTGTAAAGTGCTAAATGTGTTGAATTTTTGTTAAAGTGCTAAATGTGTTGTAAGGTGTTGAATGTGTTGTAAAGTGCTTAATGTGTTGTAAGGGGTTGAATTTGTTGCAAGGTGCTGAATGTGTTGTAAGGTGTTGAATTTGTTGTAAAGTGCTAAATGTGTTGTAAGGTGTTGAATTTGTTGTAAGGTGCTAAATGTGTTGTGAGGTGTTGAATTTGTTGTAAGGTGCTAAATGCGTTGTAAGGTGTTGAATTTGTTGTAAGGTGCTAAATGTGTTGTAAGGTGTTGAATTTGTTGTAAAGTGCTAAATGTGTTGTAAGGTGCTATAAGTGTTGTAAGATGTTGTAATGTATTGTATCTGTGGTAATTAATTGATTGACTGCGGAACCTTCCGCAGTCAACCATTGGTTTTGGTTTTCTTTATTCCGTCTTTTTCCTGATTTTTGACACGTTTCACAGCTTTCACATTTTCAACAATTTCCACAAGTTATACATCAAAACGTTCCACATGTTAGGGAGATTATTGCTATTACTTTTGGGACTTCAGCGATTTCCGGTTTTTCCGCAATCGGACAAAAATCGGTCGATTTTTCCCATTGACTTATAATGGGGCTTCCACAAATTCATAGTTTTCAGAATTTTCTTCAACATTTTCAGCATTTTCTGCAGTTTGTGCATGTTCAGCTTCCACAACTTGTGAGTTTTCAGAAAAAAATAGAGTTCTGCAGTTTTCCAGTTTTTTTCTACGGGACTTGGGAATTCTGCCATTAATTTGCATTGAGAATTCTGCAATGCATTTTAATAGGCCCATGCATTTTAATAGGACTTCAGCTCTTTCAGACATTTCTACAGTTTCAATGATTCAACAGTTTCAATGATTCAACAGTTTCAATGATTCAACAGTTTCAAGGACTTCAGCAGTTTCAAGGTTTCAAGAGTTTCAAGGACTTCAACAGTTTCAAGGACTTCAACAGTTTCAAGGACTTCACCAGTTTCAAGGACTTCAGTGTAATCATGCAACCTAATAGGGATTTTTCCATGTAAACCAGTATAATGCAACTTAATAGGGGTTTTTACATGTAAACCAGTATAATGCAACTTAATGGGGATTTTTCCATGTAAACCAGTATAATGCAACTTAATAGGGGTTTTTACATGTAAACCAGTATAATGCAACTTAATAGGGATTTTTCCATGTAAACCAGTATAATGCAACTTAATAGGGATTTTTCCATGTAAACCAGTATAATGCAACTTAATAGGATTTTTTTCATGTAAACCAGTATAATGCCACTTAATAGGGTTTTTTACATGTAAACCAGTATAATGCAACTTAATGGGGATTTTTCCATGTAAACCAGTATAATGCAACTTAATAGGGGTTTTTACATGTAAACCAGTACAATGCAACTTAATAGGGTTTTTTTTTTCCATGTAAACCAGTATAATGCAACTTAATAGGGTTTTTTACATGTAAACCAGTATAATGGAACTTAATAGGGGTTTTTACATGTAAACCAGTATAATGGAACTTAATAGGGGTTTTTACATGTAAACCAGTATAATGCAACTTAATAGGGATTTTTACATGTAAACCAGTATAATGCAACTTAATAGGGATTTTTCCATGTAAACCAGTATAATGCAACTTAATAGGGTTTTTTACATGTAAACCAGTATAATGCAACTTAATGGGGATTTTTCCATGTAAACCAGTATAATGCAACTTAATAGGGGTTTTTACATGTAAACCAGTATAAAGGATAACAGTTTAAAGGATATCAGGAGCTTCAAATACTTCAGGAGTTTCAAAGATGTTTAAAGTATTTTAACAGTTTCAAGGATTTCAAGGATTTTTCAGCTAAATTCCACATTAGATCTGTTCCGCAGTCAATCGCAATGGCTTCAGCCATTGCAAGTTTCTAGTTGTTAGTGTGGTAATATGTTGTATGGGGAGTAATCTGTTGTACTGGTCCAATGTAAGTCAATGGGAAAAAGTGCTTGAACTTTTGTTAATATCTGAAAAAGTGCTAAAGGTGGAAGTGTGAAAAGTAATAGCAATAATGAGACGGTGAAGCCGGTCGTAACGATGTATAATTTGTTGAATTTGGTGAAAGCGTTGAAGAGTTGAAAAGTGCCAAAATCTGGCGGAAGTGGAAGAAGAAGAACTAGAAATGGTACAATGGCTGAAGCCATTGTGAGTGGCTGCATAGATGTTGGAAGGGTTAGGGATGAAGAAGGAAGAGGAAGGGGAAGAAGAAGGAAGAAGAAAGAAGAGGAAAGAAGAAGAAGGAATAGGAGGAGAAAGAAGAAGGGAAAGAAGGGGAAGAAGAAGGGGAAGAAGAGGAAGAAGGGGAAGAAGAGTAAGAAGAGGAAGAAGAGGAAGAAGAGGAAGAAGGTGAAGAAGAGGAAGAAGAGAAATAAGGGGAAGAAGAGGAAGAAGTGAAGAAGATGAAGTAAGAAGAATGTGTTGTACGGGGCTGAAAGTGTTGTAAAGTGCTAAATGTGTTGTAAGGTGTTGTAAAGTGCTAAATGTGTTGTAAAGTGCTGAATGTGTTGTAAAGTGCTAAATGTGTTGTCAAGTGCTAAATGTGTTGTCAAGTGCTAAATGTGTTGTAAAGTGCTGAATGTGTTGTAAAGTGCTGAATGTGTTGTAAAGTGCTGAATGTGTTGTAAAGTGCTGAATGTGTTGTAAAGTGCTTAATGGGTTGTAAAGTGCTAAATGTGTTGTAAAGTGCTAAATGTGTTGTAAAGTGCTAAATGTGTTGTAAGGTGTTGAATTTGTTGTAAGGTATTGAATTTGTTGTAAGGTATTGAATTTGTTGTAAGGTATTGAATGTTTTGTAAAGTGCTAAATGTGTTGTAAGGTGTTGAATGTGTTGTAAAGTGCAAAATGTGTTGTAAGGTGTTGAATTTGTTGTAAAGTGCCAAATGTGTTGTAAGGTGTTGAATGTGTTGTAAAGTGCTGAATGTGTTGTAAAGTGCTAAATGTGTTGTAAAGTGCTAAATGTGTTGTAAGGTGTTGAATGTGTTGTAAAGTGCAAAATGTGTTGTAAGGTGTTGAATTTGTTGTAAAATGCTAAATGTGTTGTAAGGTGTTGAATTTGTTGTAAAGTGCTAAATGTGTTGTAAGGTATTGAATTTGTTGTAAGGTATTGAATGTTTTGTAAAGTGCTAAATGTGTTGTAAGGTGTTGAATGTGTTGTAAAGTGCTAAATGTGTTGTAAGGTGTTGAATGTGTTGTAAAGTGGTAAATGTGTTGAATTTTTGTTAAAGTGCTAAATGTGTCGTAAGGTGTTGAATGTGTTGTAAAGTGCTAAATGTGTTGTAAGGGGTTGAATTTGTTGTAAGGTGCTGAATGTGTTGTAAGGTGTTGAATTTGTTGTAAAGTGCTAAATGTGTTGTAAGGTGTTGAATTTGTTGTAAGGTATTAAATGTGTTGTAAGGTGTTGAATTTGTTGTAAGGTGCTAAATGTGTTGTAAGGTGTTGAATTTGTTGGAAGGTGCTAAATGTGTTGTAAGGTGTTGAATTTGTTGTAAAGTGCTAAATGTGTTGTAAGGTGCTATAAGTGTTGTAAGATGTTGTAATGTATTGTATCTGTGGTAATGAATTGTTAGTGTGGTAATATGTTGTATGGGGAGTAATCTGTTGTACTGGTCCAATGTAAGTCAATGGGAAAAAGTGCTTGAACTTTTGTTAATATCTGAAAAAGTGCTAAAGGTGGAAGTGTGAAAAGTAATAGCAATAATGAGACGGTGAAGCCGGTCGTAACGATGTATAATTTGTTGAATTTGGTGAAAGCGTTGAAGAGTTGAAAAGTGCCAAAATCTGGCGGAAGTGGAAGAAGAAGAATAAACAGTAGGAGAGCATATAGTGGCTGCATAGTCTATGCAGCCACTCAACTAGAAATGGTACAATGGCTGAAGCCATTGTGAGTGGCTGCATAGATGTTGGAAGGGTTAGGGATGAAGAAGGAAGAGGAAGGGGAAGATGGAAGAAGAAAGAAAAGTGAAGAAGAGGAAAGAAGAAGAAGGAAGAGGAGGAGGAAGAAGAAGGGGAAGAAGAAGAAGAGGAAGAAGGGGAAGAAGAGGAATAAGGGGAAGAACAGGAAGAACAGGAAAAAGGGGAAGAAGAGGAAGAAGATGAAGAAGGGGAAGAAGGGGGAGAAGGGGAAGAAGAGGAAGAAGGGGAAGAAGAAGAAGAGGAAGAAGGGGAAGAACAGGAAGAAGAGGAAGAAGGGGAAGAAGAGGAAGAAGGGGAAGAAGAGGAAGAAGGGAAGAAGAGGAAGAAGGGGAAGAAGGAGAAGAAGAGGAAGAAGGGGAAGAACAGGAAGAAGTGGAAGAACAGGAAGAAGAGGAAGAAGGGGAAGAAGGGGGAGAAGAGGAAGAAGAGGAAGAAGGAGAAGAAGAGGAAGAACAGGAAGAAGAGGAAGAAGGGGAAGAAGAGGAAGAAGGGGAAGAAGAGGAAGAAGGGAAGAAGAGGAAGAAGGAGAAGAAGAGGAAGAAGGGGAAGAACAGGAAGAAGTGGAAGAACAGGAAGAAGAGGAAGAAGGGGAAGAAGGGGGAGAAGAGGAAGAAGAGGAAGAAGGAAAAGAAGAGGAAGAAGGGGAAGAACAGTACTAAATGTGTTGTAAAGTGCTGAATGTGTTGTAAAGTGCTAAATGTGTTGTAAGGTGTTGAATTTGTGTTAAAGTGCTAAATGTGTTGTAAGGTGTTGAATTTGTTGTAAAGTGCTAAATGTGTTGAATTTGTGTTAAAGTGCTAAATGTGTTGTAAGGTGTTGAATGTGTTGTAAAGTGCTAAATGTGTTGTAAGGTGTTGAATTTGTTGTAAGGTGTTGAATTTGTTGTAAAGTGCTAAATGTGTTGTAAGGTGTTGAATTTGTTGTAAAGTGCTAAATGTGTTGTACGGTGTTGAATTTGTTGTAAAGTGCTAAATGTGTTGTAAAGTGTTGAATTTGTTGTAAAGTGCTAAATGTGTTGAATTTGTGTTAAAGTGCTAAATGTGTTGTAAGGTGTTGAATGTGTTGTAAAGTGCTAAATGTGTTGTAAGGTGTTGAATTTGTTGTAAGGTGCTGAATGTGTTGTAAGGTGTTGAATTTGTTGTAAAGTGCTAAATGTGTTGTAAGGTGTTGAATTTGTTGTAAGTCACCACTTAAAATAAAAATAAAAAAAAAGGGAAAGGAAAAGGGGAAGAAAAAAGAGGTCTGTAATATTCCATCATAGCGACAACATAGCGAACAAATAAAAAAAAATCCAGGAATTCACATTGTAGGATTTATAAAGAATTTATTTGTAAATGATGTGGAAAATAAAGTTATAAGTCACTTTCAAAGGAAGGAAAATCTCCTGGCAGACCTGTATCTAGGCCAAGACAAAAGATCTGTCGAAGGACACCAGGAAAAAATTGTCAGATCCTGCACCAGACTGGGAAAGGTATCCTACAATAGCAAGCACTTGTTTAGTGGACAAATCAACTGTGGGGAGCACATTATCAGAAAAGGAGACTACAGAAGACAACTGATAATCTCCTCGATCTGGGGCTCACGCAAGATCGTGGATCAAAAATCCGGGAACCACACCACGGGAGACCTGGTGAATGACTGCAGAGAGCAGGACCAAAGAACAAAGGTACCATCAGTAACACACAACACGACATGGGGGGGGGGGGGGGGGGGGGGGGGGGGTGGGAAATCAAATCCAGCCGTGCCAGACTGTCCCCCTGCTGAAGGCTAGTGCATGTCCAGGCCCGTCTGAAGTTTGCCAGAGAGCAAATGGATGATACAGCAGAGGATTGGGAGAATGTCATGTGGTCAATGAAACAAGAGTAGAACTGTTTGGTATAAACTCAACTCGTCTGTTTGGAGAAGAAGAATACAGAGTTGCATCCAATACACCATACCAACGTGAAGCATGGGGGTGGAAACATCATGCTTTGGGCTTTGTTTTTCTGCTAAGGGGACAGGACAACAGATCTGTTGTTAAAGAAGCTATACCCATTTTTTTTCTAAGTAGTTCATAAAAAGGCTTTTTTACAACATACGAAGATGTATCAAATAATACATCATTTAATTGAAAACTTGAGGTCATTGAATTCAGCTGTGAAAAGAAATTTACAAGCCAGTGAAAACGTGCAGTAGTAGAGTCTAGCGGCCCTCCTTTCTCCTCCGCTCACAGAACGAGTGCAGCGAACAGCCTGCGTCCACTCGCCACTACAGCGCTGCTAAACAACCAGGCTTCAAAATTCGAATAATAATCTAAAATAAAAACGATGTAACGGGCTACACTACAGACGTGTGTGAACGATCTACGCACAATATGAGAGATTTATGGAGTGAAAAATAAAGAACGAGCACAAAAACATTGTGTTTATCAGAGGAGACTTACCGAGTGCGTGTGTAATCCAGAATGAATGGAGAAAGCCGGCTCTCTCTGTTTGAGAGCAGCGCGCACAAAGTTTTCCCCATAGTACTTGGATGGGAGCCCGCCTGGGAATGCCAGGTGCTGTAAGCATTTTGCCCCTGGAGCTCGGGCCTGGGGGCGAGCTCAACAACAGCGCGAGTTGTTGTCGTGTAGTTGAGTTGAGTTGAGTGCAGCTTGCAGTTGTTTCCGTCTCTCACTACTCATCATTTCCGGTAGCATATCAAACAAAATAATGGAAGTTGTTTTAGTAGTGTTTGTTTCCACTGCATAGTAAAGAAATGGGTGAATATTTCATTTAGAATGTTTTGATTTTCCAATTTAATTTAGAAAATGGAAATACAATAAAAACAACCACGTAATTTGTTTTTCTGATTTTGTTTTGTAACGGAATAACTAATGATCGAAGGGTACACGGATTATTTACACGGATTGTTTTTGGTTCTCAATATTTTAATTTAATGCAACATTGAAATATTGGTTTGTTTTTTTAGTTTTCTGTGGATCCAATTAAAACAAAAATGCAGTAAACCCATAATGACCGTCCAAATTACATTTTGCGATTTTTTTCTTTCCTGAAACAAAAGAGTCCCCCGGAAGCACGCGTTTGTCACGAGAACAGGAAGTGTCGCCTCAGATTCAGATTCAGTTTATTTGCCATTTGCAGTAAAAAAAAAACCACATCGTAATACATTGGCAAAAAGTCTCCAGTATGCACAGACAAATACAGACATAAAACCACATTAAAAGACAATAATAAAACATTAAAAAAATGTCACTGTGAAATCGATCGACTAAAACAGTTTCAAAACAAGTGCAAATCATTAAAGTGCTCAGTTCACACTGATAACAGCTTGTTAGCGTAGCGAGATGTCCTGCATCTCAGAGAGCGATATCTTCTGCCAGAGGGAAGAAGCTGGAACATGGCTTTCCCAGGGTGGCCAGAAGAGTCATTGACAATCCTAAGAGCTTTGTTTAAAAGTCTGGATTTATAAAGAACCTCCAGAACAGGAAGCTCACAGCCCACGGTCCTCTTTGCAGAGCGGAGCACCTTGTTTAACGCTCCCTTTTCTTTATCTGTGATGTTACAGACTGGGACCTTTTCAGAGCTGCCACAGATAGTTTGGATGAATACACGGACACTGTGACGTCATACATTCACTTCTGCGAGGATAGCATCATTCCAACAAGGACCAGGGTCATCTATAACAATGACAAACCCTGGTTCACTGCTAAACTCCGGCAGCTCAGGAAAGCAAAGGAGTCTGCTTTCAGGGAGGGGGACCGCAGCGGCTACAAAGCAGCTAAATATCAGTTCAGGAAAGAACTGAAAGCAGCCAAGTCCCGGCACAGAGAACGACTACAGGAGCAGTTTGGTAACAACGATACTGCTTCTGTCTGGAGGGGCCTACGGGAGATCACCAACTACAAACCCAAAGCCCCCCCCTGTGCTGACGACCACAAGCTAGCTGACGAACTGAACTTATTTTTCAGTCGCTTTGATGCTGCCCCTGACACCTCTCCCTCCCCCACCCCCCACTACTCTAACGACCCACCCATCAGCCCTGCCCCCAGCCTAACAATAGCCGCTAAAGAGATTAAACAACTCTTCTTGAGGCTGCACCCCCGCAAAGCTCCTGGCCCGGACCACGTGTCTCCGGCCACTCGGAGACACTGCGCCAGTGAGCTTACTCCTGTGTTCACGGACATTTTCAACACCTCTCTGCAGTCCTGCCAATTCCCGGCCTGCTTCAAATCCTCCATCATTGTCCCCGTTCCGAAGAAGCCCAGGATCACAGGACTCAATGACTACAGACCTGTAGCACTTACGTCTGTCGTCATGAAGTCATTTGAACGCCTGGTTCTCTCCCATCTCAAGTCCCTCACCTCCCCCCTCCTGGACCCCCTGAAGTTTGCCTACAGAGCCAACAGATCTGTAGACGACGCCATTAACCTGGCCCTCCACCACATCCTACAGCACCTGGACTCCCCGGGGACCTACGCCAGGGTCCTGTTCGTGGACTTCAGCTCTGCCTTCAACACAATCCTGCCATCCCTGCTCCAGGACAAGCTCTCCCAGCTCAACGTGCCCGATTCCACCTGCAGGTGGATCACTGACTTCCTGACGGACAGGAAGCAGCGAGTGCGTCTGGGGAAGAATGTCTCGGACTCTCGGATTATAAATACAGGAGCCCCACAGGGCTGTGTTCTTTCTCCCCTGCTCTTCTCCCTGTACACCAACCACTGCACCTCCAGCCACGACTCCGTGAAGCTGATCAAGTTCGCGGACGACACCACCCTCATTGGACTCATCTCCAACAACGATGAGTCCGCCTACAGGAGGGAGGTGGACCGGCTGGTGTCCTGGTGCAGTGGTAACAACCTGGAGCTGAACGCCCAGAAGACAGTGGAGATGATTGTGGACTTCAGGAAGAGCACTGCCCCCCCCCCCCACCCTCCGTGATGGACTCCCCCATCACCTCTGTGGAGTCCTTCCGTTTCCTGGGCACCACCATCACCCAGGACCTCAAGTGGGAGCCGACCATCAACTCCCTCATCAAGAAGGCCCAGCAGAGGATGTACTTCCTGCGGCAGCTCAGGAAAGCCAAGCTGCCTGCACAGATGTTGGTGCAGTTCTACACAGCCATCATCGAGTCCATCCTCACCTCCTCCGTCACCGTGTGGTTCGCTGGAGCCACAGTCAGGTACAAACAGAGACTACAGCGCATTGTGCGCTCTACAGAGGAAGTGATCGGCCGCAGCCTTCCATCGCTGCAGGACCTGTACGTCGCCCGAGCTCGAGGCCGGGCTGGTCGTATCACAGCCGACCCCTCTCACCCTGCACATGGACTATTCCAACCACTCCCCTCAGGCAGGAGGCTGCGGTCCATCAGGACTAGAACCTCCCGCCACAAGAACAGTTTCTTCCCCTCTGCTGTTGGACTCTTGAACACTTCTTAACCTGTCCCCCCGCCCTTTATAAAGTCACTTTACTGCCCATCATACGTCACTTTACTTCACTGTACTGCTGTCACCTTACATTGTGTGCACCATGTGCACTTGTATAGTGTAAATAGTAACTGTAACTCTATTTTAAATTTAAATTTATTCTTTAGAAGTTTTTTTTATTCTTATTTTTATTATCTCTTTTTGACTGTTGCACTGAGCCAAAGCAATTTCCAAGTCTGTGACCTCCTGTTACTT